TGTGATTTCAACGTGTTGACGAGTGTTTAAAAAAAAATTAAAACTTATTTCATACATAACAAACGGTGCTTTGTTTTGTTTTGTTTGACTTCAAGTCCCGGTTAAACAATTATTCGAAGGAAATGGTATTTGTATATGCCGCATTTTAGGGTATCTATTTGCTTATAATACTATCCCATTGGTTACTTCTGTTATTTTAGAATATATTCATGAAATGAAATTTCTCTATCGACAAATGCATGATACAATTAGAGAAAAAAGTAATTTTCTATTGGGTTTTTAAGTCACACCGGTAGGTCAAATGGCGATTTTTTCCAGCTGGTAGGGTAAGACCTCTGGGTTTCCTCCGTGGAATATCGTTACAGGACAAGCAGACACCCAGATTGAACCACCGATGTTTCCTTAGATTACTGGATAGCTTCTAAACATAACAAAAACCAATGTCTCTGAAGGAAATCGAACCCATAGAGGTAAGGGGCAAGTGATTCGAAGTCAACGACCTTAACCACTCAGCCATAGACGTTCTCAAAAAAATGTAACGAAAACATTCATTAATGACTTTCGTTATAAAACTAAAGCAATTAACACCGCAATTAAGTTATGATTCTGATACTACAATTGTCAATCAAAAACATTCAATTTACTATTCTAATATCTCTAGTATCAGAAAATTAAAATGCTTAAAACTTTATTTTGCAGTTGGCGTTGTTATCACTCAGATATCATTATCCCCCAAAACACCACAATGAATCATTGTCAACCTGATTGATAAAAAAATCTTTTTTCCTGCTATGATATTTATTTGTTATCTCTTTTTTTATATTTGCTTTTGATTGTATTTTGATAAAACATGCACTTTATTTCGATCAAAACATACACTCTGATATGATGTTTTTGTAAAGGTTTCACTAGGAGGGCTAGTTGTTACATTGGTACAGTAGTGATTTGAATAAAAGAAATGCAATATACATGTAATATAAAGCTTGTGTTGCATGGCATACATTTATGATTATTAGATACAATTATATCAATAGAAACATTGTACTTGGAAAAGAAATCAAAATCAGTCGATAATATTGCAGTAAACTCGAAACATTTTTTTTATCAAAATAATGGTTAAAAAAAGTAAACTCAATGTTTAAAACCACAATAAAAACTCCTCATAGCCTTTAATTGCACCAAGATTAAACCTTGACAAAAATGTTTGAAGTGTTAATGTTCTAATTTGAACTTGTTTTGATTGTTGTGACATATATCAAACCTTTAAAACAAAAGGAATATCTCAAAAATTGTATATTTCCCTACCTTTTTACACAAAAGGCAAACCTCCCTATTTTTTAAACAAAAAGGCGTACCTCCCTAACCCTTTTTAATAAAAAGATATCTCCATAACGGTATATCCCCTCACCTTTTAAAATAAAAGGCAAACCAACCTGGCTTTTTTTAAAAAAAAACAAACAAAAAGACATTACTCCTTATTTAAAAAAAGCCATATTTCCAAAGGGAAAAACGGAATCGCTAAAGAACGCCCAAACGACAAAATTGAAAATGTTGCAGGCGTTGGATTGAGCCTGTTCATAAAGGCATAGCTCCCTCATATTTTATTCACATAAAAGCTAAATGTATGGTATTTAAAAAAACTCTTAACTTGCTGAATTTGTGTCATGTCATTGCTCTGCTTTGAATTTGACAGAGTCTATCTCACGTGTAAGTGATTTCAATATCAAAATACAATAATAGAGCTACCAAAAGTATAGATCCTTGTCGCAGTGCACAGATGTGCAGGCTAGTCTAACTCCGTAATAACTCTGTAATAATGGCAAAGGGAAATCATTCTTGTTCCATTAAATAAACAAACACATCACTGCATGTATAATATGTCATTTATATCTCGACTTAATACATACAATGTTATTTAATTAGACAATACCATTACCATTATATGATTATAGAAAAATAAAACAGGAATAGAATATAAAAAAGGGAAAATATAAAAAACATCCTGCAGAGAAGAAACTACCTGCCTTCAAGGACAGCTAGTAAATGATACCATATGTTGTATTCTTTTAGTTCTTTAAGCAAACATTCAAACATTATGCTTGAAATATGTAAACACGTTCATTATCATTATATATATTTTTTCTCTTTTTTACATGTTGTTTTATGACAAGCAAATTTTTGCGGATTACAAAATCAGACTTCAACAAATGGTACCATATTGTCCATGAATGTGCACTAGTGTCAAATCTCGGTATAATGTATCGGTTTCTGGATGGTATGACATAGTACAAATTTAAAACCAAACAAAAAATATAGGTTACAACAAATGATACTTTTTAAGGCCAAATGATCCTTTTTTTCAGGCATGTGGAACAGAACGGCAAATAAATATATCAAAACGAAGTGTTTCTTCCTTTGTGATCTAATTTGCAAACAAAACTAGTACAGGAGTAATTAGATTTCTCTTAAACGTTTGATAAATAAACGGAGGACTTTGATTATCTAAAGAGATGAATGATCATTTGACTAATCCAAATAAGACAAAGTATACTGTATTTTCTAAATTCGTTAAATTGTCAGAATAAGTTTTAATTTCGCAGCATCCTCGATGGCTAGAAAATTCTAATTTGATTTAGTTTATTGTAATAAGAAAGATACAAAGAAAGCTGCAAGATATTTCTTGCCAACACATTGTCTTGGACATCCAATGTAGTTAACAAGAAATTAAACATCTCAAAAGCCACAAAACTAGGCTAAGGTGAAGTACTGGGCGATATTTTACCACCGCCACACATATTTTTACACACATTAATGCAAGTCAATAAACTCAGAATTTGGAATCCCTCGAGAGCTGAATTTTCTAGCATTCTGGTGATTGTCACGTATGTTTTAAACAACATTAAATATATGTGTTATGTTGACTGTGAGCATTATTTCAAAAATTCACGAACGCTGACATTTCACGCCCGATGAACGCAACGTGTAATAAAGGACAACTTTCATTGACAATAATTGTTATTTTTGGGGTCTTAATTGTGTCACTGCTTAATCTGTCCGCACTCCAGTAATACGTAATACAGATTATAGTTATCTAACAAACTTTTAAGATGATATATTTCCTTTTCTTTCATCCTAGAAAGGTGAACTGTAAAAATGGCAGCTCTTAAAACGGCCTTCAGCTTTTATTTTCCGTTGGAAAAACAATTCTGTGTTGTTTCAAACTAAGTATTTCATTACTTTATCTTGGAAAAGAGCATTATATCACTGTTTAGCATGAAAACCGTGACCCTAGAACTATTAATAACGCGTAAGGGTCTAAGGGACGTTCGTTTCTAAAAATAGAAGGTCGGGAAACGAATTGTCCTCTTTTCTAACTTAAATGTAGAGAGCGGACCGATAGATAAGAGGTGTCATTGTGGTGTTTTCTAATTGTTTATGTATTTTATGGTCTGTAATGTAACATTTTCCACCTTAATTCTTTTGATTTGACAATTATATGAAACGATTTAACTAAAAATAGCATATTTAACCTTTAGAAAAGCTAAAGGCCTCTTTAAAGTCAGAGGTAAACTATAAACGAACTAAAAGCAATAAAGAAATACAGGTTATCATGTTTGCAACTTTGTTACACTGACTTACATTGATTCTAAATTTTCTAGAACATTCGTTCCCTAAGAAAAAAGAAAAAAATATTCCATTGCTATTTTAAGTTGGGTTTAGCGATAATTCTACACATAATTGGCAAGCGAAATACTTTGAATGGTTTGTACTGCGATATGAATAATTATTATGCTCCGTACAACCTTAAATGTAGAAATTTGCACGATCTCTGCTTTTTGACCTTTTAAAGGCCCTTATAGCCAAAGCTTTGTATTGTTGTGTTTTTTGTTTGTTTGTTTTTTCTTTACAATTTTCCGAAAAAGGTACACATAGGCTATAGAGCTATTGCTTTTTTGGCCATTAGTAAAATTATAGTAATCAAGTATATTGTTTGGAAGACAAAATATCACTTTTTGAGGCTTTGCTATTTTTATGACAATTGATTACACATTCGATGCAACTTTCATCGCGTCTAACATGCGAAAAACATTTAAAAATGCGGGTTTGTCCTCATGACCTTTTTTACTTAACAGGTTTTTTAATCAAATAAAATACAACAATTTCAATTAAAATTGTGAAAAAGTATCTATCTACCATGCTTTCCAACTTAAACCGCTGACTCTGCTCTTCATTTGCAACAATCCAGTCTATTTTGAAGTTAATAAAAGTGAACTTGATATCAAAATGCAAAATCAATGATAGTTATAATAACTAAAACAGCACCTTATAGTATAGAACCTTGTCGAAAGCCTAAAGTGGTAACAGTTGTTGCCAGCAGAAACTGTGGTTAAAGCGGTTAATGTGTCATATATAGAAACACTTTATTAGTCTCATAAAATCAAATATAAACAGAAAAGCAACTATTTCTAGCAAAAAGGTATGGATTTATAACAGTATGTGAAATTAGATATATTTCCTTCCGCGAACATCAATTATTTCACACCTCGAAACTGATAGTTCACTTTTTTGTCTGAATGAAATTGTGGAAAGGAAAAGACCACACATGTAACTTAGCGATAGAAACATTATTATCAAGGAAATGTAAACAGATTAAAAACAAACGATAAGAAAATGTAAAGCGTTTAGCCATGGTGCGATACAAAGAGAATTTAATCACAAAAGGTGCAAAGCAGGGTCAGAATTTAAACATATTTGTTTAACTTTTAGTATATACACGTTCTTTCCGTTTTTACGAAAAAATATGTTTTTCAAGGTTAAAGATTCAAATTAAAAATTTGTTGAATTTTATTTTTAAAAGTCTTGAGACTTTAAGGTTCAGACACTCTGTAAAGGATCGAACCATTATCTCTCACACAAACACTTTGTAACTTAAAAAAATATTCATAATGATAATAAATTGTACTAAAGAACACTCCATATAGAATAGCATAAACACTGACCTGTTTATTTGACTGTCTTGTCTTGGGTGTTCCCATACACAAAATGGTGCTTTCGGAGAAGCAGACTCTATCTGGCACTGAAATCTTGCGACCCCTCCAGTAATAACATTAATGTTCTCGGGTTCAATGCGTAAGGTAGGCTCTGAAATAAAAAGGTTAATCGTACAGTGTAACCTCTCTAGAACGACCACTCTGTAAAACAATCACCATTTTATAACAACTGTTTGAAACATTCCCAAATATATACATACATAAACAGCACTCAGCAATAAACAAAATCTTTTGAAATCTTAAAATGATGGAAAGATGGACAAGTCATTTTAATATATTTAGCGTGGTAACAAGTATTAATGTTTAGCTTCCTAAATTCTGTTATTATTGTAAGCAGTATTGTAGGTGTTGCTTTTTTGGGGGTCATATTCTCTATTTATTATTCATAAATATCTGTTAATGTTCTACATTGTTGTAAACCATTAAATGCTCAATGCATTCTTAAATATACAAACGTTTAAAGCGAACCATTAACATCAGTATTTAGATTAAAATTTTAAGGTATTTCATCAGTGAAAAAGAACGATCTTTTTTTCTTATTTATTAAGCCCTTTGATTGATCTAAACACGTATCTTTAATTGATAATTGAAGTATTTTGTCTGTTATTAGTATAATTTGTCTTTAAAAGTTGTATGCAATGAGTAAGCAATATATTTTTACTGTATTTTAATGTAAGATGAGCACAAACTTTTCTTTTATGAACGCGTATTTTATGTTTGACAAACTTTTTAAAACCGCAAAAAATTTACATGTACTTTCAAGTACGTTATTAATTAAATGATAAAGCATTTTTGCAAGTAAAAGTTGGGTCAAGTAATTTTCAAAAATCAAATTCAAATATATCTTAAAAGTTTTTAATGAAATGTTTGATAATTTAGAGTATTTATCTATTAGTCATCCATTTTTAAAACGTTTGTTTTCATAAAAATAAATTGACTCAAGTCACTGCAAATCAAGACAAGTAAAAACTTATTTGAATTTAAATTGAACGCTTTAGGTCTTGTTGAAATATATTGAAGAAGTGTTTTGTAACGTTTAAAAAGTGTGTAGCTTAAAGTATTTCTATTACCGCACTTGCAAGAAATAAGATAAATCAAGGAGTAACTAATTGTGTTTTTTGTTTTTGTTTTTTTTATTTTTACCCCGTACTAACCAGCTTCATACTATTGTTTTATTGAATAATTCCCGACTTTATGCCCAGGACAAAAGAAAAAGAAAATCAGGATCAAATGATCCTAATTTTGTTGCATTGCATCATGAATCTTTCATTGAATATATTCAAAATGTTTCTTGTAGCTGATTTGAAATAAGGATTAAAAATTTAGGATTAAAGATAAAAAAGTACAATGGTAACAGGATCAAAATAAGGATCGGTTTTAAGATCAAGGTCAATTAGATTAAGTTTTTAATACTTAGATATCTTGAATAGTAATAAAGGAATGGTTCGGACATTTCGTCATCTATTATATCATATCAAAGTCCCTTTTCTAAGATAGCATGAAATGTTAAACCCAGCATATTAATAGTGAAATTTTTTAAACATGAATTTTGACCCTGACCTCAATCCTGATCTCGAATCCCTTGTGTCTAATAGACCTGTATGTGTTATACACATTTGATATTTTACTTAACCCTTTTTTTTTTTTTATTTTTTTTATTTTTTTTTTTTTGGGGGGGGGGGGGGTAATCGGCCTCTGGATTTCTGTTATCTACAAGAATTCATTAAAATACCAACTCTTTATCAAACGCAATAAGTACTTCCATTGTACTCTATGTGTCACCTTAACATCTAGAGTAGGAAATTGGAACTTCCAAATAAATAAATGTTTAAATAAACCCTAATGGGAAATAGGAAGTCAGACATTTTCAATTTAAGACCTTCTCATCGGAACAAAACCTAGGTCAAAGACTAGTGCAAAATATGACATAAATTTCAAGGTCTCTATTACTGACAAAAGAAGGGCGTTTTCAGCATGTTCTGAGACATGAAAGGTAGTTTTTGCAGACAAAAAGTCCCTCAGGCTAGCCAGATTCACGTGACAATTGTTTACTGATAAAAAATGAGCCGCGTTACGACGAAACCAACATAATGGGTTTGCGACCAGCATGGGTCCAGACCAGCCTGCGCATCCGCACAGCCAGATCAGGATCCATGCTGTTCGCTTACAAACCCTATAACAAGTAGAGAAACTGATAGCGAACAGCATGGATCCTGATCAGACTGCGCGGATTCGCAGGCTGGTCTGGATCCATGCTGGTCGCAAACCCATTATGTTGGTTTTGTTATGACACGGCTCAAATATTTTTCTATCACTATCAACCGTGCTATTAAATGCGATAAATGCATGAATAGAATATCATTTCATTTGTTAATTGCAGAAGAAGAAAAAAAGTTAAATAAATTGCTTTATTGCAAAGAACAAAATCAATGAATTCATAGCAAAAGCGCCGCACATTATTTTGTTTTTTGTAGTGCGTACAGGACACACAAAACTTGAAAAGTCGTAGCAATCATCTCTAAAAGCATTGGTGTGTGAACTTATAACTTTTGATACATTTATTCAAAGTTATTTATAGGAAATGCATTCGTTAGTTTTTATTATTGTAGGTATAATTAAGAATGAAAAATGTTAATTTTCATTTTAATTGTCAACATTTGTCCTGTTTAAACAAATTACGTCATTTATATTACATAGCTATTATTTCTTTATTTTCACAGCTCTACTCGGTCCTTCTAGAAAGAAATAAGTGCTAGTGCTAATAATATCATCACCAATGTATATTCTTATTTCTGTTTTGACTTCACTTGAAAGTGACAATAATAGCTTCTTCCCAAACTTTCTGTCGGGATTCGAACCAACAGCGGTGGGGGCAAGTGGTTTGAAGTCAACGACTTTTAACCACTCGTCAATGGACGCCCCCCCCCCCCCCCCTCTAACACACACACACAAAATAACAATTGGTGTAAGTTAACTTACTTGCGACTTTTACCTCCACTTGTCTGCCAATGAAGGTACCAAAACTGTTTGTTGCATAACATTCATAAAACCCAGTGTCGTCACGTGACTTTTTGCGTTTGTTGAGGAATTTTTCGATGATAAGAGACCCGTTAGATGCTACATATACCCGTTTCTGAGGTAGTACAGTAACTCCATCTTTAGTCCATGAGACGTCGGTGTGAACTTTGTCTTCTGAGGTAATAGGACAGTCTATAGCAAGACGACTATTTTTGAGAACTTCTATTGTATTAGCAGACGGTTGAACGATGACACTGCTGGGAGGTGATTGTATTTCCCCTGAAACTGTAAAGGTGAAATATAATTAGATGACGTCACAAGTACGTGTTACGTTGATTCAATAGTATTTACTATATCAGACACGCTATCAAAACGTTGCATGCAGTATCATAAGCGTACGACATATTTATTTCCAACGACAACAATTTTCACGTTTAAACAATACACAGTACCTAAGTTGTTACACAAATTACGCCATTAAAATTACATAGTTATGCATTCTTTCTTTTTAACTCTCAACTCATTCCGTTTAGAAAGAAATTAGTGCTGTGCTAATTATGTCATCAGCAATGTATATTTTCTTATTTCTGCTAATTGGGCTTCACATCACCCGTTATTGCAAGTGAACAATACAAACGCTAGACGACAAATGACGTCACTAACGTCTTTCACTAATCAGCAAATGCATATCTATCGATTGCATAATAGTGAACCTTTTTATGATTCGAATATACTAGCGTCAGATGGACTTTTGATTCGATGAGATACCAGATTGTCATTTTAGATCTATATACTATTATTTCGATGAGATCATTATCTTATCATTGTCGATCTATAGTCTACTGTTTCGATAAAATAAAATTATAAAATGGGGGATCGATAGTTTTGGTTCAAATGAGAAAGCATATTATCATTGCTTTTTAAAAATAATTTTTTTCGACATACATAAAATTACATTGCAGTTTTATGGAAATATTCCGCAAATACGGGAAAAATTATCATTGCGGGTTTTATAGATGTTTCAAACAAAAAACCGAAAATTTAAATATTGCAGATAAAACACTTTCGTTTTAAAATAAAACACTTTATAAAGGGCCAGATTACTATTGCAATCTATAAACTATTCTTTCGACGAGGTAGCAAATTATCATGGCAGATCTATACACTATTGTGTCAATGAAATACCAGATATTTTCATTATAGATCTACTGTCTGTAATATTGATAAGTAGACAAATCTGTTACCGTTACGAAGTTCGTTAAAGTAAATGAAATGAAAATATTAATTTGATTGCATTGTTTTGCTCGCGGTATCCTTTGTAGTAAAGGCAATTTTGCATATAGCCATTGTTATTTAATCTTTGTTATTGACAAGTGATGTCGTGCCGTTCCTTTTTTTTATTAGATAAAATATTTTATAGCTTAATAAAGTTTAGTTTAGTTCAGGTATTTCAATGACAATTTCGCAGTTATAAAACCACTCATTTGTTGAGGTTTTTTAGAAGAAGTATAGAAAACTTTTGTTGTTACTGGCAAAGGTGTAGGAGTATTTTGTAAGAACATGAGCTAAAAATCTATGTTTTTTGTATGTTTATCTTTTAATGAAAGGTCGTAAAAACATAGAGTTTTACGACAACACCCACTGTTTTTCAAGACCACTTTACGACTTTTATCAAGATACTCCAGAAATGAATCACTAAATGAATAACTCGTGGTTTTTCTTTTCGATCATAAAATTGGAAAAAAGAGAAAAGCTTTTTACTTAAATAGAAATTATTATTTATCAAATATATGCTTATAGTAAGAACCGCATAAAATGTTGCCAAATGTATCTCACTTTAGAGATAAATAATGTATCTCACTTTCGAGATATATCATGTATCTCACTTTAGAGATATTTAACGTATCTCACTTTGGATATAAATTATGTATTTCATTTTAGAGGTATGTAATGTATCTCACTTTAGAAATAGATAATGTATCTCACTTTCGAGATATATCATGTATCTCACTTTAGAGATATTTAACGTATCTCACTTTGGATATGAATAATGAATTTCATTTTAGAGGTATGTAATGTATCTCACTTAAAAATAAATAATGTATCTCACTTTTGAGATATATCATGTATCTGTATTTAGATATATTAAACGTATCTCACTTTGGATATAAATAATGTATTTCATTTTAGAGGTATGTAATGTATCTCACTTTAGAGATATGAAATGTATCTCTCTTTGGAGATATATAACGTATCTCACTTTAGAGGTATACAATGTTTCTCACTTTAGAGATATACAATGTATCTCACTTTAGAGATATACAATGTATCATACTTTGGAGATATATAAGCTGAAAATTAAAATCGCTTGGTTATCATGCATTCAAAAGATGCAAAAAATCTATCTCTCTGGTTTTAATTTTGAATTGTATGCATTTCTATTTGGCATCAAAAGGTTTCATTTGTAATCCTCACACTAATCATTATTGAAAGGCCATTGTGAGGCGGCAATTTACCTGAGAAATAATTTCAACAATTTCAAATATTAATTTCGCCGTATACGTGACATTTATTTGGAAATATCAAAACATAAATTAAAATATTCGTGAAACTAAAATCCCTGAAAGGATAAATGGGCTTTTTTAAAATTCAAATCCGGGGTATTTGAAACACAAAGACAACACGTTTGTTGACATATGTTACAACTAGTATGTTGTTTTGACCCTGATGTCTTTATCAAAGTTTTATTTCGCGAAATGACATTGCAAAGTAGCGGAAAGATATATTTTAACATGACGGAACTGTAACCATGTATATCAGCGTTTATCATTTCAAACATTGCTCTTTCACAATGCTTCCACGATGTGGCCACACACAAAGAAATAATATTATGCATACTTCTATTTTGCCATGTTCCTGATTTTGCTCATATTGTTTCATCACTTGGTGTGCTTTGTATTTTGTTTTCGGATGTATGACAAATGAACCTAGATAGCCAAGACATGATGAAATATGTCATAACGCTACATTGAACTTGCAGTCAGTTCCATGAAAATAGATTATATTCATCATTACTTATACAATAGCATTTTGACTGGCAACAAACAGTTTCTCTGTCTCTGCCAGTCAAAATGCTATATATTTTTCTATCCCAAGTCAATCACCGTTTAATTGTTTGTCAGTACAAAATGCTCTATGTTTGTATTTGTCAGTATAAACGCTTGACTTTTGTATATGTCAGGAATAAAATGATTGTCATTTGAATTTGTCAATTAAAATGCTTGAGCTTCGTCAGTAAAAAGGTTTGACTTTTGTATTTGTCAGTAATAAAATGCTTCACCTTTATATTTGTCAGTGATAAAATAATTGTCATAAGTATTTGTCAGTTAAACAGCTTGACCTTTATTTGTTTATTAAATGGTTGCTTAATCTTTGTATTTCTTAATTAAAAATGGTTGTAAAATGCATTTGTCAGTTAAAAGCCTTAAACTGCTTGGCTTAAAGTTTAAAACTGTTTGACCTAAAATTTAAACTGCTTGGACTTTGTCAGTTTAAGAATGCTTTATCTTTATATCTTGCAATGACAAATTATTAACATTTGTTTGTTTTGTTTTTTTTTGTCAGTAAAGAAATGTTTGATCTTTATAGTTGCTTGTTTAAAACTGCTTTATTTCTAACACATTATTATCACCATAAATGTACAATATACATGATATTTCTATTTAAAATGGCATTATACCCAGTCATGTGTCAATGGTGGGTGCAAATTTAAAGTTAAAATACTTTAAAATTTTGCCACAATTGTGTTCAATTTTATATTTAACTATGCAAAAATAAACAATAATAATCCATAAGACCTAAAGACATTTCTATAAATATTGTTAGGAATGAAGCAGTATCGTTCAATATTTAAAAAAGAGAGTTGGGTAGTCATTGTATTGTTAAGGCAGTTTTTGTATTTTATCGTGAACATTTTTCATTATCAATTGAGCCGTGTGATGACAAAACCAACATAATGGGTTTGCGACCAGCATGGATCCAGACCAGCCTGCGCATCCGCGCAGTCTGATCAGGATCCATGCTGTTCGCTTACCAACTCTATTACATGTAGAGAAACTGATAGCGAACAGCATGGATCCTGATCAGACTGCGCGGATGCGCAGGCTGGTCTGGATCCATGCTGGTCGCAAACACACTATATTGGTTTTGTCATGACACGGCTCAATTATTTGTCAATACAAGCAAAAGTCAGTCTCTTGAAATGTATCATTAACTGAAATCAGCTTGACAGCGACAAAATGAGCAATAATGCCACTTTAATTCACTAAAACATTTGAGCAAGAGGCTATGTTCAAAGATGTTTCAATAATATTCTACGACAACCTGTCTATATCAAGATAAAGTGCAATTCAGGACAACATAAAGTACATTTCAGTGTCCCTGATGTCATGCCATATCATTATTTATCTGGCAGAACTGTACATACATTACCAAGGACAAATGGAAGCCTTATGATTTGGTACAGAATGGAAGAAAAGTGTTGTGTACAGAATTATTGCAAAAAACTTTCTCGACTAGTGAATGTACGTTATCTTGCGTTATGTTATGTAAAATTAATGTTATGTTGATATAAAATTAGGCTTCGTTGCATTGTGTAGCACAACTCATCAATTTGCTGTAATTTAACGTGCTGTAAATAAATGTTCTTTGTTGTGTTGTAATGTGTGGTGTGTATTTTGTTTTCCTATGTTATGTTGCACTATGATGTTTGATGTTATGTTGTGTTGTATGATGGTGTGATATGTTTATCATTGTGTTGTAACAATATGATGAGCTTGCTTTGTGTTTTATAGTTGCTTTTTTAATAATTGTCATGTTGCAATGTGTTGTGTTGTGCAATGATGTTTAATGTTATTTTGTGTTGTGTTGCGTTACATGACGGAGTGATAAGTTTGTTGTAGTGTATTGTTATGACATATTACTAATGTTTTCGTATTGTGCACTGTTGTGATAAGTAATTTATATCAATGTCGTGTTGCAAAGTGTTGTGTTGTCCTGTGTTTGAAAATGTAGTCCGAGATTGTACTATTGATTAGATTCGTGTTGTGACAGGGCACTATACGTCACACTGTATACTATTGTATCTCATTAAAATGTTTCTAATCATTTCTTTTTCTTCCATGTAAAATTTTGGGATTTAAAGATAAAAGTATGGTAGGGCAGTAACACATGTAGTCACACGGCAACATTTCTTTAAGCTTTTCGTTGTCATACTGACGTGTTTG